CCTGCTCTTCCTTAAACCATTTATATCCTCCTATAGCTTATATTTCAGGAAAACTTTCACTTACCATCAATCATCATATAAAGGAAAAATATGGGAAATTCACATTCAATGCCATCAAATAGCTACAACAGAAAATAAAATATTAATTTTTCACTAACAATCAGATTAGAATAACTATAGTTAGGTTATATGTAAGTTATTTATAGTAATAGCTTAAAGTTAGACTGAATTTATAAACAGTTTCATTGGTATTTTATTTTTAAGTTTTCTCAGGATTCTTCTTATTCAAAAGCTCATTCATTCAATCCATCAATTGAACATTTATTTCATTGATTCAATATTTATCATTTGATAAATATTTACTGAGTATGTTCTAAGGTCTGGATAGAGAGATAGAAAGACAAAAGATAGAGATCCTGCCCTCAGAGGCTCACAGGCTAGTGCGGGGGCCTGAGTGTGAATAGTTACAGTGCAGTAGGAGACCTCTATGTATGGTATATCAGGAACATAGGAAATAAAACACCTGAGTCTGCTTTGGAGGTCAGGGAAAGGATTTCCAGAAAAGATAGTTCAACGAATACTTGATGGACTTCACTGGAGAGATGATCTAAAGCAACTCTATCCAGAGAAAACAAAACAAAACAAAAAAACAAACAAGCTATAGATGTATAAAAGCATAAAGGGCAGTAAAAAAATCTACCATCAGTCTAGCACTTCTGGGATAAATAAGGAACTAGTGAAAACTGAAGCCTAACTGGTGGACCAGACCAGCCAGATTAGGAAAGGCCTTGGAGGTCATGCTTAGAGATTGAGTCTTTGATTTGGAAGTAACAGGAACCCGATGGTCAATACTAGACAGATCAGATTTACTTAGATATAATCCTCAGGTTGAGCAGTTGACAGTACTGAAGATAGGTGTAGGACAAGAAATAAGGAGATTACCAGGAGGGCTGCTGGAATAATCCAAAGAGAAAAGATGATAGCTCATCTGGGATTTCTCAGCCTTAGTAATATTACATTTTATGCCAATTCTTTGTTGTAGGGGCTATCCTGTGTGTTGTAACATGTTTAGAAGCATCCCGAGCTGAGCTTACACCTTTCAGCCAGTAGAACCCACCCAGTTGTGATATGCAAAAATGTCTGCAGACATTGTCAAATGTAGGGGTGGGGAATCACCTCAGGTTCTCAACAACTAGCCTAAACCAAAGAACAATAGTACAAAAGAGAATGAATGCTAAGATTCTAAGGAACTAACTCTGCCTGGCTTGGTGAACAACAAAGGTGGGTGACTGAGAGCATAGAGCCTAAAATGACTCTCTGGTTTGGAACTGGAGCAGAAGAATGAGAGTTGAACATAGAGCATTCAAGTGAGGATGTCCAAGAGGCCACTGCATATAAGTAGGGCATTCAGAGGAAGTGGTATGAGTTAGGGTAGAGATCTTGGGTAAACAGTGATAGATGAAGCTATAAGAGCATAGGTAGAAGGAAAAACAAATAGAGCTGAGGTATGGGCCACAAAAGAAAATACATTTTTAAGAGGCAGCATAAGGAGAACCTACGAAAGAGACCGAGAAGGACAATGAGACTGAAAGTAGAAAACCAGGAAGACTAGGGTGATAGCAAATGGAGGAGAATGTTCCCAGCACAAGTGCTGGGGAGTGTTGGGGAGATTATAAAGGGCAAGAGTAAGGGAGAGGAAGATCCAGATTATAAAGGGCAAGAGTAAGGGAGAGGAGGCAAAGGGGAGCCTTCAAGTACAGACCAAGCTTTTCAGAGGGGTGGCTACTAAGAGAAACAGGAAGGGAGGGACAAAGCTTGATGGATGGCTTTTGTTTTGTTAATGACAAACATCAGCATGTTATGAAGGGGAAGAGAAACTGACTAAAGTTGGGAGAGCAAAACAGAGGGGAGGTAAAAGTAGAGAAGATGAGAAAAAAGTGAGAGGTGAATATTCTTTTCTCTAGAAAAATAAAAAATAAAAAACCCTCAGCTTGAGTCCCAAAAAATACGAGAACAAGATAGGATGCAGATATGCAGGATTAGCCTTTGAAGAACCAGGTAGCACCTTCTGTGAGACTGGAGATGGAGATAAGTAAGAAGGGAAGGAGAGATGCAGCAGAGGAGGCCATATAGGAATGAAAGGCTATCAGAAAATAAGCACACTGGGAAGCTGAGTACAATGGCAGAAAAGCTGGAAAAGCTTTCATGTGGAGTTCCTGACAGAGTTACATAGCCGGACTGACAAGAAGTGAAAGTCCTGATGAGAACTAATCAAGGTGATATCCTGAATTTGAGGTGGCACCTCTCCACCTCAAATGGATCTCTTTGGTGGTATTCAACAGCAGGCACAAAGACAATAGAAAGCCTGCTGGAGTGATCCAAAGGGAAAGTATGCAAGGTGGTAGTTGCAGGCAGTCCAATTCATATGTAAGTGCTGTAAATTAGCTCAGAAAATAAATTAAATGGGAAAGAACTATTTGAAGGCATTTAAGAGATAAATCGATCTTTTGGCCCAACCTAACAGATTGTAACACTCTAACACTGCTGTGAAATTTTAAAAATGTACACAATAAAATGGCTTCTAATGTTCCCAGATGGTAGTCAACTGTGAAATTAAATAAAATGATAAATAGCTTATCTAGCTGTCCTGCAAAACTAAGCATATATTGAATTTTAAAAGAGTGGTATGTTAATTGCCAAACAAATTACAAGGCCTAACATTGCCTAGATATTTTCTACACAATAGAATCTTGAACAGTGTTGTTACTGACAGCACCCTAGTCAGTCAAAAATCTATATATAATTTTTGACTCACCCCCTGCCCCAAACTTAACTAATAGCCTTACTGGTAATACAAAAAGTCCATTAACACATATTTTGAATGTTACATGTATTATATGCTGTATTCTTACAATAAGGTAAGCTAGAGAAAAGAAAATGCTATCAAGAAAACCATAAAGAAAATGCATTTACAATACTATAACGTATTTTCAATATATTCATGGAAAAATATCACATATACATGGACCCAGGCATATAAATGAACCCATGCAGTCCAATGGACCCATGTTCTTCAAGGGTCAAATGAATACAGATCCATGGGGATTTTACCTATTTTCAATGTGTAAATCAAAGTTATGAGTATACCTACAAAAATAATTTTCAATCTACCCCACTAAGCAAAGTCTTTAGTAATGTGTATGGTGCTTACTTTTTGGGGGGATGGTATAATTTTTTGAACAGCTTAAAAGTAACTAGTATAAACTTGTGGTATATGTAAGTGTTTGAAAAAAGAAAATTTAAAACTAAATATTCAAAAGACATATTTCAAAGGGAAGTATTCGAATGAAATAGAAAAAGAAAGAGGAGAAGGAACATCAGTTTTAATGAGAACATTAAACACTTAACAGATTGACAACTGGATCACACATAGAAATCTGACATTATTTAAGACAAAGGTATGTAACAGTCAGGCAAAGGACTGAAAATGCAATAGAAAAGCTGTTCACCCAATGAATCAATATGGCCTAAACTGAGCAAATAGGCCTCACTGGTTATAAAAGCTAATATTTCATTAAGTACTTATTATGTGCCTAACACTATTTTAAGCACTTTCATAAAAATTAAGCCATTTAATTCTCACAAGAACCTCATGATGTACTATTTTACTAACAAAGAATATTAAGCATAGAGGTTAATTAACTTGCCCAAGGCCACAGAGCTATTCAGTGGCAGAGCTAGAATTCAAACCCAATGAGTCGGGCTCTAGATGAGTGCTTTTGATCACTCTGATGTGCTACTGACGTGGAATATTTTTTGATACCTTAATTTCAGCTGGCTTATAGTAGCGTCTGTTGGGATCTTCCAATGATGTTCTATACCCATCTCTCAAGAAACGCTTAAATCCATATTTTCCTTTTAATTTTCTAACCACTTTATCAAGTGTCTGGCTAAACAGAACTTCATCATCCAGGGCAAATGCTGGATAACTGATACAGGGGAGCAGAGCAGCATCTGTGTTCTGGAACAGTAAAAAATACAGATTGTAAGGGATCATAGCAATATGGCCAATGCAATCTAAGAAGAATCATGGAGATAAACGTCAATAAGGTCCTCCAACTGACAATAAGATTGCTCAGTTCCAAGGGACAGACAGATGCTTCCATGGTATGTGTCACTGAATCTCACAGAGATAAAACTTTGTTAATAGAGTATTTTCAAGGGTCAACATTGGGCTCAAACTTTAAGGTATTACATAAAACAATACTAAACATTTAACACTAATAATTATCACAAATTTGTTTGTCGTAATCTGCTTATATAGTGATAAAGAGAAAACAACCAACAATTCGTTGAGTAAATTAGCAACCATTAAAATTTATATTGTAGAAAACTGTTTTTTTACATGGAAACAAGTCCATTCATAGAACTAGGTGACCAATCATGAACAACATTATTTCAGCTTTGTAAAATAAAAATATTTATATGTGCATAAAAGTCTGCAGAAACAAATGTACGCAAATGTTTTCACCCTAAGATGATCTCTAAGTAGTATTTCTGTACTTACGGGCTTTGTTTTCTCATATGACAATCTTGCATTACTTACATTACTTGGCCAGAGGCCTGGGTAGCTTGGATGTGGGGGTTGGACCCACACCCTAGTCGGCTGATACAACCCAGATCTAGCCTGTCATCAGACCTGTGCTGCACTCAGATCCAACCCGAATATAGCACATAGTGCTCTACTCAGCACACGGGACTCTATCCTGTATACAGCACCAGACCTTACATGGCACAGCAGTCTGCTCTCCCTCTAAACCTTTACTGTACATGGGCTGTTTCTACTTCTAAGACACTCCCCCCCTCCCTATACCCTTATAAAAATCGCTAAGCCCCTCCCTCGGGCGTGACTTCTCTGGTCCCCTCTCTCTTACTCTGCTGGACCAGAGAACTTCACCCAGGAGCGCTCCCAATAAAGGCTCTACATTTCTATTTTCTCACGTGGTTGGCCCATTGCTTACATATATAAATAGCAATTTAAAATAATTAAATTATTCTGTTTGGGGTGTTCTTTTTTTTTTTTTGTCTTCCACCCAAGGTTTCTGCCATAGGGCACATGTGTTTGCCAAAGAGAGAGAGAACGACAGTAAAAGGGAAAGTGAGAAATCATCCCCCAAGAGGGGATGGCCATGCCATAATCTTTTCTCTTCTATTCTCCTCTTGGGATTTTGGTCATACACATACATGTGTCCAGCATAATTTTTAAGTAGCCAGGTTCAAGACTCAAACAGCAGTCAGCCATGTGGGAGTCCAGCACCTTAACAACCATACCACCAGCTGGCCCTAGTTTGGGTGTTTTCTAAGGACAGAAATAATTCTTAGGAAAATCTGCAGTCAGATATTATAGGCATATAAAAGTTCATTAGACAAAAAAGTGAATCAAACCAGAGAAAAGAAATCATGAAAGGAAGGAAATTTTATTGCACTCAGATCCAACCCGGATATAGCACATAGTGCTCTACTCAGCACACGGGACTCTATCCTGTATACAGCACCAGACCTTACATGGCACAGCAGTCTGCTCTCCCTCTAAACCTTTACTGTACATGGGCTGTTTCTACTTCTAAGACACTCCCCCCCTCCCTATACCCTTATAAAAATCGCTAAGCCCCTCCCTCGGGCGTGACTTCTCTGGTCCCCTCTCTCTTACTCTGCTGGACCAGAGAACTTCACCCAGGAGCGCTCCCAATAAAGGCTCTACATTTCTATTTTCTCACGTGGTTGGCCCATTGCTTACATATATAAATAGCAATTTAAAATAATTAAATTATTCTGTTTGGGGTGTTCTTTTTTTTTTTTTTTTTTCCACCCAAGGTTTCCCATAGGGCACATGTGTTTGCCAAAGAGAGAGAGAACGACAGTAAAAGGGAAAGTGAGAAATCATCCCCCAAGAGGGGATGGCCATGCCATAATCTTTTCTCTTCTATTCTCCTCTTGGGATTTTGGTCATACACATACATGTGTCCAGCATAATTTTTAAGTAGCCAGGTTCAGGACTCAAACAGCAGTCAGCCATGTGGGAGTCCAGCACCTTAACAACCATACCACCAGCTGGCCCTAGTTTGGGTGTTTTCTAAGGACAGAAATAATTCTTAGGAAAATCTGCAGTCAGATATTATAGGCATATAAAAGTTCATTAGACAAAAAAGTGAATCAAACCAGAGAAAAGAAATCATGAAAGGAAGGAAATTTTATTCAAAAGAAATATAAACTACTAAAAATGCTTTTCTAACATTCTATGACAAAAACAATATTCATTTTGGTATCTTGTTGCTACCTTCCCCAAAGAAAAATAGTCTATTTTTCTGTGGTCCTACAAAAGACTCACAGGACAGAACAATTTTTGTCTGCAGCTCTGTTCGCTTCCCAAGTAAGACTTCCACAGGCTACGAAAGTGAAGGAGAATATCTAATGTGTCTTTTATCTCTCTTGAAAGACCTCTAACGTTTAAAAGCATTTTCTTGGAAAAGAAGATAAAACTCTAGGATGATAGTTCATATTAAGTTATCATAAAAACATCTCACGTGAGATCGTGATTCTCTGGGTAACAGTGAGCACAGAGTTTGCCTGTTGCGATTATGAGCATCGAGGTCCACAAATATAACTGACCAAGAACAGCCCTGGAGAGAGAGAATGAAAAACATTTTATAAGTTAAGAAAAAAAAACAAACTGAAGAACATTTGCATTTTAAATTTCACATAGATACTAACACTGACCATATTTGAGTTTGGGATTATATAAGATTTTAATTTTCTTTTTTTATACCTTTTGTGTTTCTCAAATCTCTTGCATTTCTTTAAATTTTTTCCCATTTTTTCCTTTTTATCACAAATTAAAATATTGATTACAAAATTTTTGCTAATGTAAGTATTAGAGCAAGAACAAACTTAGAGTCATAAAACTGAGTTGTATATTCATTACAAAGAATATTGATTATGTTATCAAACTAAATGAATTTAGATATAATCTAGAATTATAGACCCAAAAAACACTTGATAAAAATATGAAGTATTAGAATCTCAGTAATAATAATGTAAATATCAACTGCTATTCACACTATATGATAGATACTGTGTTTTATGTTTCACATGAATCCACTCACTTAATGTCCAGATGTAGTTTTATCCCCATTGTTCTGAAAAGGACACTAAGCTTTTGTTTAAGAGTACAGTTTCAAAAACTAAGTCTCTAACACAGAAGTCCATGCTTTAATCACTAGATTATACAATTTACCACACTGAAAAAAAAAATTCAAGTAAGAACAAGAAGTTGAAAAATACAATAGGTATAACAGAAGATGTCAAAACAGACGTATTTGCTCTCAGGCAAAAAAACCTCTTGAATAAAATAAAAACAAGAAGACTATGGGTTGGCTCCATGGCCTAGTGATTAAGGCAGCCAAATCTCATATGGCTGACCAAGAGGTGTGAGTCCCATACCTGGCCAGTCAGAGCAGCATGTGCATTTGCCTTCATGCCCAAAACTCCAAAAGGAGGGAAAGATGGAGGAGAAGAGATTATAGCTCGCTTTCTAGTGAACACAAGCACTCTCTAGTACACATACATACACACGCGTACACAAAGACTATACAATGGCAATACGTGACTAAGTACCATGTGAGTGGCTTAAATGGAAGGGTAATAATTATAACAAGGCTCTAGGAAGTTGGAGCAAGATGAGAACCAAAGCTAGGATCTGAATTTGGGAGGAAATGGTAGGAAGTGGAGTAGTTAGAACAAAATAGCAGGAAGCTGAATGGGCATAATTTGTTAGGAACTTACAAATATACAAAGTAGAAGCTATAATTTATCCTTAGGCTAATAATTAATAAAGCTAAGTCCATGACAGACTATCTGTATGAAATTGAGTTTTTTAAAAGGTACAATCTAAATAGGATAATTTATAAATAATGAATAGAAATGGCAAATTCAACCATCCTATTCATTTTTGATTAAATACTCAAATTCTATTTTCTGGTCACGAATAAACAGTTTGTTTATCTAACTTCAATAAAATATTTGTTCGGGTCTCAATTTTCCTCTGCCAGCCTCTAAGACATATGCCTAAAAGGAAAAATAATCTCATAAGGACCATATTTAACTTTGAGATCAAAGGCTAGTTAAGTATGGGCTGTCAGAAAAGTCATGACATATTTGTTTCTGTTTTTCTATGTAGAAATGTATCATGACTTTCTCAACAACCCAATATACTATTTGGCTGTCCTCTTTAAAAATAGGCCATGCTTTGAGCATTGCGATCCAGATTTCCAGGAGGGTAGAATCACCCAAGGTCATGGGCAACCGTTCCCCATTCAGAAGCAAGTGTTTAAAAAAGTCATCACGGAAAGCCCACGCATGGAATTCATTACTACCTACTTTAAATCAGCAGACACAGTAATTTTAGACCTGCAAATTTCAAAGAAAGCTAGATGCCTGCTTTGCTTTGAACACTTTACATAACATGAGCAATCTCTCTAGTCATCACCTTTTAGATCCTGGCCTCAGCTCATTTGCCTGATTTCCCCAATTAAAGACAGAAATATGAAAAGATGTTTTATGTGAATAATCACTTCAGAGTATCTGATTAACTTTGGGTATTTTATTTTCATCTTCCATTTCCTGAACTCATCACGACTGTGACATAACATCTTTCTTTCTCTTTTTTTTTTTTTTTTTAACCTGCTAAAGCTTGTGCATACAAGGAAAAGAGAGAGAGAAGTACCCTCCAGAGGGTTTGGTCATGCCACAATCCTCTTCTCATCCTCCAGCCTTCCAGGATCAAGGCATGTTCACATACGCCCAGCATGTTTTCAGGCTGACCAAGCCAAGGACTTAAAACATGTGGTTGTCTGGACTGTGGCGGCTGGGCTTGCCATAGTGTCTTTACTTCACCTAAATTTCAAGACTTACAGCTCAAATTTTATTCTCCAAGTAAATTTCTTTAATTGGTTTTGTTTTAGAAAATGTACTAGAAGACTTTTTTTTTTTTTTTTAATCTGACCACTGTCTTAAGAACTTCAGTGCCAGTGGTGGGGATGGGCCGCACTGACCCATTTACCTATTCTCTGCAGCCAGAACAAACACTTTCAGAATTTTCCTAAGGCTAATGTTACCTATTTGTAACTATAAGAAATGCCTGATTTTTTTTTAAGTATTTTTGCCAAAGGGCTTGTGCACTTGCTGGAGAGAGATAGAGAGCAACAGAGAGAGGGGAAATGAGAAATCATCCCTCAGGAGGGATGGTCATGCTGCAATCCCTTCTCCACTCTCATCTTGGGATTTGGGGCACACATGTACATGTGCTCAGCCTCCAGGGCCAGGACTCAAAACACGAATTGGCCACGAGAGATCCTGCTGCCTTAACTTCCATGCCACCTGCAGGCCCAGAAATTGCTATTCTTTTTTTCCCCTAAGAATTAATTTAATTTAATTTATTATTATTATTCTTATTTTTAACTTGCTACAGGTATTGGGACTAGAGAGGGAGAAAGTTAGAAAGCAAGCAGCCAGGTCTGGGACTCAAACTATGGTCAGTCATGTGGGTGTCCAGAGCCCCAACCACCACAATACTTGGCTAGCCCACTGCTAGCATTAAATTCCTATTAATGGTTTCAGTTAAAAGTGAAATGACTTGAAGGATGGTCTGGACCTTCCCTTTCTTCAGTCATGATTTCTCCAAACTTGAACTAATAGATACTTGCCCTCACCCGAATCAAAAATAAAACAAGATGAAATTGGTTAGTGGATGTGTTGTGTATGGTCTTATCTGTTCCTATTCTGGAAGCAAAAACCATACCACAAAACTATGGTCAGGAGGCTTTCTTCCCTAGTACAATATTACACTGCCTTTTGTTCTGTGGCAGACCCTAAAAACCAGTATTCTTCCAAAAAAGATTTGTTTATGAGGACTCCCCCCCACTGTACCATGACTGTAAGTGGCAATAGGCATGCTTCTGCCAGCTGTTGCTCACTGACCCAACAGTTGTTTGTGGTAGCCCATCACAATCCAGGTTTCTCTCCTTTCTAAAAGATTCTGCTCACATACTGCTAAAGAAAGTTCGAACCACACGGACCAGCAGTTAGCGTAATGGCTATGTCGCTGAACTCCCATGTAGCCGAGTGCGGTTCGAGTCCCGGACCTGGTGGCTTAAACTCACACCAGGCGCGTGTGCGTGCGTGCCCAAGATCCCGAGAGGAGAATGGAGGAGAAGGGAATGCAGTGTGACCATGCCCCCTGGGAGGTGATTTCTCACTTTCTCTCTCTGTCTCTCTCTGTCTTTCTGGTGAGCGCACGTGCCCTATGGCAAAAACCTCTCCAAAAAAAAAAGAAAGTTCAAACCACACAAAATGCTAGATGTGAGCTTTAGCTCTTAGGGTCTCAGAAAAGTCTCAGAAAACCCTGAAATTCAAACCAGTAATCACAAAGTTATTGCTTACTATGACTAGGACATTTGATGAAGGTAAATTATGATAAACATAAATATTATGAAACATGACTTAAATGATATTTAAATGCATTTTCCTTGTAATTATATAGAATATACTGGGTCATCAGAGAAGCCGTGTGTATTTTTTCCTGGTATTCTATGCATAAATGCATCATGCCTTTTCTGATGACCCAGTATTTTTAGATCATTTTGAAATACGCAATTCCCGTATGAGGACTGTACGAGTATGTAACTAAATGTGGCTCTGCCCCAAATTAGGCTTTATTATAAACTAATCAGTAAAGAAATTGGGCCATTTTTCCAAGTTTATTCATTTACCACTGCTTTGAGAGTGAGAGAGAAAAAGACAGAGTGGCACACCCAACAGGGTCTTTGTGACAATTTATCTTCAGTCTCAACCAGCCTGGATCGCAGGCATGCACATGCCACAGTGTGCTTAGGGAGGTCGTAGGAAGCAAACCTAGGATGTTCCCATTAAGTCCAGCTGTGTTACTGTTGTACCACGGTCTGTCCCTGAAATTGGATCATTTTATCAAAATGTATTCTTAGCATCCCAAAGAATAATAATTTTCAAAAATAGTTGTATAGTAAAGATTTAAACAATGGTTTTCTTTTTTCTTTTTCTTTTTTTTTGATTGGTTTTTGCTACTGGGCACATGTGCTCACCAGAAAGACGGAGAAAGACAGAGGGATAGAAAGCAAAAAAATCACCCCCCCCAGGGAGGATGGCCACGCCACAATTCCTTCTGCTCCATTCTCCTCTCAGGATCTTGGGCACGTACGCACACGTGCCTGGAGTGAGTTTCAGCCACCGGGTCTGGGACTTGAACCACGGTCGACTACATGGGAGTTCAGCAACATAGTCATTAACGCTAACTGCTGGTCCCAATACTTTTTTTCTTGAAAGCAAGCGAAGTGA